TTGTCAAGCAGCGAGTATGAGTAAATTATCTTCATTCTTACCTGTGCACAAGCTGTATAGGATAGTTAGGCCGAAACCTTGAAGCCGTATCAATTCTGAGCTACCCACAGTTAGCTAGGTCGCTCTCTGTTTCGTCTATTGTCAGCTGTGACGATCACTTCGATCGATCAATCAATTTCGGCTGCAAACTCATCAAACACTTGTGAAGTTGTTAATGTTGATGACGCTCAGGATACGCCAGGGGAAACTGCTGGCAAGTGTACAATTGAAGAGAGAGACAGGGATAGAGAGGAAGCGTGTGGGAGAGTAAGGGAAAGTGAGAGAGCTAAGCGGATTATGTTACAGCAGCGTGTAAAGGACAATGCAGGACGAGCAGACAACAGCTACAAAAAAAAAAAAAAGGGAAGCGCCAAATTCAACCACTGACAACAATGAGAATGAAGCAGAAAAAAAAAAGAAAAAACAGACGAGAAATATGGCAGGAGCTATAACAATGCGACGCAGGTGGCGCAGGGGAGGGCCTGTGGCAGGGGCGCGCGCGTCATGTGCCAAGTGGATTTGCAGCTTGTAATCCTTGCAACAAAAACTTAAGAGTTCCTGTGCGTGTGTGTCATGCATTACATGAGAATTGCATCAGCGTTTTATAGCGATTATTTAATGCGATTTTGATTAAATTTTAATTGAGCGTTTACTCAGAGTTTTTTGCTTAAGTCTTTCGTTTGCAGCCCACCCAGCACGCGCGCCCTTTCCCGCGCTCTCTCACTCTCACCCGCTCTCGTTGCTGGGCAGCTGGCTACGCACTTATTTGTTGTTGCCACACGTAAGTGCCACTTAGTAATGCCATAGACCAAAAACAATTGTCCGCTTTTGGGGGCAAGTTGCGTCTGTCTCAAGTGCAACTTGGTTACAACTTCAAAGCGCCTTCAGCCATGCAAATTAACCAAAAATTCCATTTGCAACAACTTGAATGCAAAAAAAAAAAACAAAAAATAAAGTACAGTATGCTCCAAGCAGACTGATGGAAGGCGGGCGGCTGCTGTAAAGGGGCAGGGTACGGCGTCACAGCAGCTGTTGCTGTCGTTAAGCGGCGCCCCGCCCGCCGAGCTGCTCATAAAATTTTAACGCGCGCGGGCATAAAAAGAAGCCGTAGCCAGAGTCTGAAAAAGTGTTGGACAACAACAACAAGAGCAACAACAGCGAGACCCAACACTCTCTTGGCCATGTCATCGATGTTGTTGCCGATAATGATGCGGCTCATTTGGCGGCCAAAATGGCGCTTTTAATGCGCATGTCCTGCACAACAAAAACAACAAACACAAGCAAGAGTGCTCCAGCGGGAAGTGCCCGACTAGCAGATACCCCAAACCCAGCTACCCTCAAGGGTTCTGGTTACCTCCTATACACTATGCATTCGAGATTAACTTTTGTCTCTATAGTCCGATCTTTATGACAACAAAATGTGTGTAAATACTAAGGGGCCAGGCTCTAACTTTTAAAATTTATGTTTTTTCCCCAATTTGACGGGCAACAGAGGAAGATTTCCAAAGTTTCTACTATGCATCTAATGCATCTTACTCATATATTCTTCGAGCTATGCTTGAAAATCGATACATATATCGATCTGATGAATAGAAAAATAAATGCGTTCTGCGTAGGGTCTAATAATAAGACTCGAGACGGACATAAGCAGATCGCCTAAGCTCGTCGTCTTGATCAAGAGCTTAAAGAAGCTATATAAGCTGGGATATGCTTCTTGCAGCCTGTTTCATACGTTTGCACAAAAACAGTATACCCTTTCAACCCTTTAGTGCCTCGGGTATAACAACAACAACATCGCGCACCGAGAACAGCGCGTGGCCTCATAAAAAAGCGAAAATGATTAAATTTGCAGCGCCTGCAAGGGGGATGTGTGCATGTGCGTGTGTGTGCGTGCTTCTGCGTGTGTGACCGTACGTTTACATGTATTGCAGGACATTGCGACATCGTAAATAAAATTCTCATCTGAAATGCTCAATCGTCGGCGAATGGCGCAGCGCAGTAAACTTTCGCTTAACTGTTGAAATAAATGCAAATAACAGCAGAGATTAAATAAATTCTTTTCATTTAATAACCTGTGGCCTACTAAAAGTGGGTTGATCAGCCTCCTCGACATGGCTGTCGGATTACCGTTTCGAACATCTAGCGACATATATACATATACACATATATATACATATATACATACATATACATATATACATATATACATATATACATATATACATATATACATATATACATATATACATATATACATATATACATATATACATATATACATATATACATATATACATATATACATATATACATATATACATATATACATATATACATATATACATATATACATATATACATATATACATATATACATATATACATATATACATATATACATATATACATATATACATATATACATATATACATATATACATAAATACATATATACATACATATGCATATATACCTATATACATATACACATACATAGAAGGAAGCTGTAGTATTTTTAAAGTCAGCTGGACGCTGGGTTCATGGTATCTTCTAGTCAGGCGCTCCCACCTATTTGTTTAGTGTTGGAATTATATTATTTTATAGAGTTAAAAAAAAATAGTATGCCAATTAGTTTATTAAAGCGGCAGTCTAATTAGACGTATTTTAGTTTGTTCGCGGTCTTAGGGTATGCAATATAAAATACCTGACAGATCGTTGCAAGTGGCAAATATGGACAGCTGAAAAGTATGCAACATATAATTAAATATTTCAACTTTAGCCACGGACAGTGGTGTGGTCCGTGTGGCATATTTTGAACAAGCGTGGGAGACGATGCATTAAAAGCAACTTAATTAAATTGTAATTGGATATATTTTGATGCGCTTCCTTCGACCGCAAACAAACAACATGTCATCCCGCAGCCCCCGGTCCACATTCACGCTCACACTCCTACGCCCATTCCAGGCTGCAGGCTTCATTTGATGTCACTCTAGTTGACACGTGGCCGTGGAGCTGGGTTTTTGGTTGGGTGCTGATTTGCTTTTTGAGTTTGGGGTTGTCTTTCGTCGCGTGCTTGTTTTTAAAGCCGCGTACACGCGCCACGCCCCACCTCCCCTTGTGGCGGATGCGTTGTTTATGCAACGAAACTAATTTAAACTACTTCACGCGGCGGTCGGCTAATCCGACGCACTGTGTGTGATAACATCGTTAAGTTGTTGACGCATATGGGGCAGTAATAACAATAAGCTGATAGTAATTAAATAGCACAGGCACGTGGCACATGAAGTCCAATGACTTGCATGACTCAAAACGCGTCAAACGAGAAAGCCAAAGTCGCATTCAAAGAGTTTAGTTTCTTTCCATCAAAAGTCATAACTTACTCAGAATTCTACACTAGTTACGAATGATATACTCTCTTTTACTTAAAATAAGAAGAGCGCAAACAGAGCTATCTACTCGTTAGCCTGATATCGATTGAAACCTACTAATGGTTGTCATTTTTACATTGTGTTTATCCTATTATACCTTTTTGTATTTGTGCGGATTCCTACTATCGATTCCATCGATTCAAACTCTCAATTTTTGAACAAATTTAACAAAAACAAAAAAATCATTTTGAAAATCTGATAAATAACAAATGATTTTGTAATGCTATACCTTTTGTATGTGCAAGTGCATGTAACAGACAGACGGATGCATCTCCGACCCCATAAAGTACATTCTGGATCAACATCAATAGCCGAGTCTATCTAGCCGTGTCCGTCTGTCTGTGCGTCCGTCCATCTGTCCGTCCGTATGTGTGAAAGCACGAATCTCAGAACCTATAAGAGCTAAAGACATGAAATTTGGAAAGTAGGTCCTCCTAGTCGAGTAAAAACACCAATTTGTATTGCCCACCAATTTAATCCTCAATTTTAATGAGAATACACGGAGTAGTTTAAGTAGATCTACTGTTGAAAATTTCATCAAGATCGGTTAAGAATCACAGAAGTTATTAAAGAGAATGTATTTGGCTGCCCACGTGGCTTGGGAGGCTAGCGCAAATTTCCAGAATTTCTGTCTACATGTACACACACACACATTCATGCGCGTCAGCTCATGTTCGTTTGATATTAAATAATAATAGCCCCATTATAATTTAAATCAAATAAACGCTATTGTCTAAAGCCAATCGTTAGTTTTACTCGTTACAAGCTGCTTACTCTCTTCAAGTTTTCTCGCTCGATTTCTATTGAGTTATTCCCGCTGTTTGTGTTTTGTGTTCGAAAACTGTTCATGGAAACATAACACACGCAAGCACACACTTAATTATGAGTTGACGAATGACTTTTGAGCGTATTCATAGAATTCTCTTTGAGGGGGCTACATCAACGTTAGCTTCACACAATATATTCAGAAAATGTTTTAACGAATAAAATTTCATTTGTTTACGACTGATTGAAAAGCCACAAAGCTTTTGCCAATGGGCTTTATCTGTCAGTTTGTTGGTCAACCTGTTTGTGTGTGTGTGTGTGTGTGTGCGTTTGTTGAAACACAAAATTATAGCTCGTATTTGTGGCACAATTAAGACTTGGGCACATAAACGACCAAGTTGACAGCATTAAGAACTGTGCTTCTAAAACTTTTAATTGAAATAATTCGTTTTGGGATTGGCAAAAAAAACTTCTGACAGTAAACTTTTCGTTTTGTTCTCCTCTTATTATGGAGCATGTTTTAATGGCATTTTACAAATTGGCTTTGCCTATAAAATGTCTTCAATCATTTACATTATAATAAGCAAAGAGCTGAAACTAACAAGGCGCAGTCAAAGTAACGAGTGTTTCGGTTAACTTCCATATATAAAAGTATACCCCAAAAGGACAGCTTACTAAAAAAATAGCCATTTATATAATTTTAACAGCACAATGACAATGACAGCGAGTAGCAAATTAAACTAACGACAAACGATCTTATTCGTCTTATTAATAAATATAACCCTTGTCACCCGCAAACTTATAGCAGACACGCTTAAAACAAATGCGACGTGGCGCCACACTGGCTTGGGCGGTGCTGCTGCTGGTGGTGCTGTCGCTGGTGCTGCTGATGGCGGTGCTGATACTGGTGGTTATTGTGCTAGTTTCATTCGTTGCCAGCGTTGTGATCTCACTCGTTGCTTCAGTGCTCTCGCTGCTGGCAATAGTCGAATCGCTCGCTGTTGTAGCCACTGTCGCTGTGCTGTCCGTTGTCAAATTGGTGGCCAAAGTGGTGCTCTCCACTGCGCCGGTTGTGGTGGCATTGTTAGGGCTCTCAGTGCTGGTGCCATTATCGGACTCGGCATCGAGGAAATTGATTAGCACATCCATAAATTTCAGTATGGCGCCGCGATCCTCCGATGTAAAGGTCTGTGCTGTGGTGCCAGCACCTAGCCAGGCACCGCTCACCAGTCCAATTAGCATCAGGACCACAAAACGTTGTTCGTTGCGCAAAGCTGACATTTTTGGGATTTCGTTTGGGTCTTGGGTTGTTAGTCAAAATTCTAACTGGCTGCCAAAGAGCAGCGATTTGTGCATTTTATACAACCTCGTGTATTTGCTGTCCGCTGCCCGATATCTCTTTGCGGAAATCGGACCATCCAAAATTGTCCACACAGCTCTCAGGGCACGTGCACGACCCGCCACCTGATTAAATATTGTCTGCGCCTCCATTTCAATATCTGGGTCAGGTGTCGATGTCAGCCTCTAATTTGCTGCTTATTCTGTTGCCGATGGCGTCTAAAAGCTGAGCAGAAGTGGATAAAAATATAGCCCAATGAGTGGAAAAAGTGATTGATAAACACTATCATTATGATTTTCCTTTTCTCAAGCTATATATCTTCTTTGGCTAAGACCTTAAATTAGCCTGGGACTCGAACCAGTTTCCAATTAACTTACATAAGTCACCTTTTGAGACATACTAAGTATACATTCAAATATATTTAAATTTTGTAATGCTAAGCTTAAAGATTTGTTTCCCTTATCAACAATATAGTGTACAATTAATACTTTTTGTCTTAATGTGTATTTAAGAAACATGCTCAAGAACCTAATGTCGGTGGTTATTTAAATGGTAGTTCTACGATATGTCAGTCCGATTCGCAAAAGTCAATCAATTTATGCAGATCGACTTGGAATAGATGTTCTGTTTTTTGAATAAGATATAACTAGGAGTTAGGAGTTAGTTAGACAAACCTGCCTCAGGGCAAGTCCCTTCCAGTTCCCTTCTGAGCACAATTCATTTGAATGATACGGGTCGAGTATCTATGGACCACAGCGATTAACCGCAGATGACAAATAATGCGAGAAGAATGCGAATGGGCGCTAAAGAAGAGCCAAAAGCGTGAAGTCGGTTGTCAACATCAGCGCCGATGGTGCTTGGCGATTTGTAAGCACGTTTGCGGCATGCCAATGTTGCATACGACGCGGTTATCTTTCGGTTGTTGCTGCGGCGTTATCAGCAGTAGTGAAAGAAGCGCGTTCCGTTGATAAAAATCAGCACAAAGACGCCGAATGGCCATAAAAGCGCTTGGCACAGCAGCCATCAGTATCAATCTCTTAAGCAGCGATCATCTGTGCACTTCTCGGAGAGCCGTAACAAGTTATTGGATACAATTGACACGAGGTCTTCAACGGCAACATGTGGCGCGTTCATCTGTTCCTTCTGCTATCCACCTGCTTTCTCATACCGTACGATGCAAAGCCGACCACAGGCAGCTCAACGTCAGCTTCAACATTGTCAGAGGCGCGACGTAGCAGCCATATTGGCCGATTGGCGGCCAAGGATCTGGCCGATCTGCTTCTAGCCAGCATGCAGGCGCGTGGCATCAAGCTGACCGACTCCCAGCATTCGACGATAAAGTCCCTGAGAGGCATGGAGACGACCGAACAGCAGGGCGGCGCCGTGCTGCTGCAAGTGGGCATGGATGTCATCATTGATGTGCTAATTGGTAGCAATGCGGATGCCAGCTGCGAACGCGTCATCAAGGATATCAAGAAGTCGTCGGATAAAAATAGCCTGACACTTGGTCTTAAATCCTTCCTGGCACTATGCGCCTTCAACAATATCGAGTGTTCGCAGAAGCAGGTGGTGCAGATCATCAAAAACACGACATCAGCTAAACAGAGTGACACAGCTATACAGGGCACTCGAATCACGCGCACGGCCCTCGAGCAGGCTGGCAAATCTGCCAACATAAAAGGCGATCGCGATTCAATCGTTAGTTTCCTTCAGGCAAGGAGCGTACCGGAGCTGAGCGCTATTTTGAGCACGCTTCTGCAAGTGTGCGGTGCATCCAGTGTCGAGGCTCAGAACATTGTGCAGAATCTGATTGAAAGTAAGTATCAATCATCAAGTGACGAGTGGCAAGGAACGAGTAGCGAGAAGCAAGTGACAAGCTGCAAATGATAAACAATAAGCAACGGGGAGCGACTGACAGATGAGTTGAGAGTAACGAGCAGTGAGTGACGTGCAGCCAGAGATGTATTTTGAGTAAACTCCTACGAGTAACAACTAGAATCGATTGACGAGATCCAATCTTTTAAAACTAGCGAGGGGAAAGTTTAAATCAGCAAGTACCAAAAGTGACGAGCAGTGATTAATTTGTAGCATGGAAGGAGCTGTAAGTAAGCGAATAACAACGAGTGACATGTAAAGAGTAGCAAGTATAATACGGCCAGAGACGAGTTTTTAGTGACCTCTAACGAGTGGCACGTAACATCAAAAGAGTGATTAAGTTACCTTTATGGTGTAGCAGTAGCGAGTGGCATGTTAAAAACAACAAGTATCACAAGTGACGAGAATGGATTGTATTTGAATGTTCTAGGAGTAAAAGCTACATTTAAATGAAATGTGCAGCGAGTGACAAGTAACGAGTAGTGCTTCACATAAATTGCATTCACAGTAAATTGCATTCTTTATATAACTTTTCAGTGGGCCCCAAAGATGGCACTGGCGTCAATGTGTTGCAGATCAATGGCTTTAGCACGCTGATTGTTTCCCTTATGGATAGCCTAACGTCTATTGCTAATGGCAACAAGAGCGGCTTCTGTGCCGCTACACCTGAGAGCTGGATTGTGCGTCTACTGGATATGGGCGTGGCAAAGGTTATTATAATGGGTTTAATGACGGCCTTGGATCGCTCGCTGCCTACCTCACCCAATGCGCTGATACGTAAGTAGCCACCAATTGGCTACCGATCCTTTAATCCATGTAAACCTATTCAATTGCAGAGCAAGGTAATGCAGTTGCAAATTTGGTGGATGCTGATGTTGGCAAGAGCTCGCCCACTTCCAAACGTGCCAGTGGTTCTCTTCCCGTTATTGGCAACCTGTTAAATGTTGCTAACCAAGGTGGAAATACCATCACAAGTAAGTGCCTAAAACACTGCTTATGGAAGTTTCTTTACAATTTACAAAATAATTTCCATTTTATAGAGGGTCCTAAGAATTTGATTAATGGTAGCGGCAACACTATTCTTTCTGCGGTTGATGCGAACGTTCTTGCGGGAGTTGGTGTTAATGCTCTCAATAGTATTACAGGCGTGGTTGGAGGCTCCAATGGTGGTGGTGGATCCAGTACCGGTTCCAATAGTGGTTCCGGCGCCGGCTTGGCACGATCTCAAAATATTGCAAATCAACTGGGCAATAATATATCACGTAAGTTTGGGAACATCATAGGAAAATAATATAACTATTTGCTAATAACTTTCTCTTCTACAGTGGGTCCCAAAAATGTTGTAAGCGGTAACGGAAATACTATCGCAAGCTTAGTTGATGCCCAGGTTCCTGTGGGAGCCGATGTGAATGTTCTCAGCGGAGCTTTAGGCACCGTAACTGGAGGTTCTGGTGGTTCCGGTGGTGTTGCCGGTGGTCTTTTGGGTGGTGGTTCCGGTTCCGGTTCCTCTCGCTCTCAAAATACTGCTAACCGGTTCGGCAATGAAATCTCTAGTAAGTTTGTTTACCGTACATAAATATGTTACTATTTCCTAATACCTATCTCTTTCACAGCGGGTCCCAAAAATATCGTGAACGGTAGCGGAAATACTATCGCAAGCTTAGTTGATGCGCAGGTTCCTGTGGGAGCCGATGTGAATGTTCTCAGCGGAGCTTTAGGCACCGTAACTGGAGGCTCTGGTGGTTCTAGTGGTGTTGCCGGTGGTCTTTTGGGTGGTTCTACCGGTGGTCTTTTGGGTGGTGGTTCCGGCTCCGGTTCCTCTCGCTCTCAAAATACTGCAAACCGGTTCGGCAATGAAATCTCTAGTAAGTTTGTTTACCGTACATAAATATGTTACTATTTCCTAATACCTATCTCTTCCACAGCGGGTCCCAAAAATATCGTGACTGGTAGCGGAAATACTATCGCAAGCTTAGTTGATGCTCAAGTTCCTGTGGGAGCCGTTGTGAATATTCTCAACAATAATCGAGGCACCGTAACTGGAGGTTCAGCTGGTTCTAGTGGTGTTGCCGGTGGTCTTTTGGGTGGTGGTTCCGGTTCCGGTTCCTCTCGCTCTCAAAATACTGCAAACCGGTTTGGCAATGAAATCACTAGTAAGTTTGTTTACCGTACATAAATATGTTACTACTTGCTAAAACCTATCTCTTCCATAGCGGGTCCCAAAAATATCGTGAACGGAAGCGGAAATACTATTGCAAGCTTAGTTGATGCCCAGGTTCCTGTGGGAGCCGATGTGAATGTTCTTAGCAGAGCTTTAGGCACCGTAACAGGAGGTTCTGGAGGTTCTAGTGGTGTTGCCGGTGGGCTTTTGGGTGGTGCTACCGGTGGTCTTTTGGGTGGTGCTACCGGTGGTCTTTTGGGTGGTGGTTCCGGTTCCGGTTCCTCTCGCTCTCAAAATACAGCTAACCGGTTCGGCAATGAAATCTCTAGTAAGTTTGCTTACCGTACATAAATATGTTACTATTTCCTAATACCTATCTTTTTCACAGCGGGTCCCAAAAATATCGTGAACGGGAGCGGAAATACTATCGCAAACTTAGTTGATGCGCAGGTTCCTGTGGGAGCCGATGTGAATATTCTCAGCAGAGCTTTAGGCACCGTAACTGGAGGTTCTAGTGGTTCTAGTGGTGTTGCCGGTGGTCTTTTGAGTGGTGCTACCGGTGGTCTTTTGGGTGGTGGTTCCGGTTCCGGTTCTTCTCGCTCTCAAACTACTGCTAACCGGTTTGGCAATGAAATCTCTAGTAAGTTTGCTTACCGTACATAAATATGTTACCATTTGCTAATACCTATCTCTTCCACAGCGGGTCCCAAAAATATCGTGACTGGTAGCGGAAATACTATCGCAAGCTTAGTTGATGCCCAGGTTCCTGTGGGAGCCGATGTGAATGTTCTCAGTGGAGTTTTAGGCACCGTAACTGGAGGTTCTGGTGGTTCTAGTGGTGTTGCCGGTGGTCTTTTGGGTGGTGCTACCGGTGGTCTTTTGGGTGGTGGTTCCGGTTCCGGTTCCTCTCGCTCTCAAAATATAGCCAACAAAGGTGGTAATACCATAACAAGTAAGTACCTTAAAGCTAAATAAGAAAGTTAATACAATATAGGATAACTACATTATTGTTTTGCAGCGGGTCCTAAGAATGTAATTAATGGAAGTAACAACTCCATATTTAAGGCAGTTGATCTCGATCTTCCTGTGGGACTCGGTGTAAATCTGTTACAAAGCGCAGTGGGCACGGTTTCTGGTAGTTCCAGTGGTTCTGGTGGTGTCTTGGGTGGTGCTACTGGCGGTCTTTTGGGTGGCCTTACTGGAGCTGGCTCTGGCTCCTCTCAAGGCCAAAACATTGCTAATATGGGTGGCAATCAGATTAGCAGTAAGATTATTTACCTGTTATTATTTTGCTATGCCAAGGCTTAACCAAGTATTCCATTGACAGCGGGTCCGAAAAATATTGTAAGTGGTAACGGCAATAGCATTGTCAGCTTAGTTGATGCAGCGGTCCCTGTGAATCTCGCCGTAAACGCGCTCAGCAGTGCTGTGGGAAGTGTAATTGGAGGAGGTGCTGCCCGTAATGATATCGTTCAGGTGGTTGATCAGCAAGGCAATCGCCTCATGGACATTTGGGATAAGGACGGTGTGACTGCTGGCAGCGGAGGTATTGGCAATGATTTATCCAATACCGTTAATAGTAAGTGAATCAAATGGAATTTGGTCTATTCCAATGTCGTTACTTATTTAACTTTGCAGGAGGTCCCAAGCAAATTGTTATGGGCGACGGCAACAAAATTGTCAAGCTGGTAAATTTGGATGCGTCCGTGCTGGCTAGGCTTGATCTGGCCAACGCCATCCGGGGCAGCAGCGGCGCCTGCAATGGCATCGGCAATAAGCTTGACAACGAGCTGAACAGTGAGTACAAAATCAAAGATCATATCCATTTCTTAAAACGTGATGCCATTCTTCTTGCCTACAGCTGGACCGGAGAACATTATTGAAGGCAATCGTAATACGCTTGTGACTTTGGTGGATCTCAATTTGGATGTGTTGGCCAATTTGAATCTCTTGAATAGCATTATTGGCTCTGTGGGCAATGACTGTCAGGTGACGACGCCCGAGCCGCCGACACCCTCACCACCGACGCCCTCACCTCCGACACCCTCACCCCCGACACCCTCTCCACCGACACCCACACCACCTACACCTTATCCCCCAACTCCATCCCCACCCACACCACAACCTCCTACCCCCTCACCACCCACTCCAAGTCCACCTACCCCCAGCCCGAATAACTGTTACCGGCGCTACTGTCGCAAGTGGCGCACTCGCCCCAGTTACTTGTGCTACAAAAACTGCGGCGGCTCATACGTCTACAGACCCTAATGTGGACTTCGCTCAGGAGTTGCGTGAACTGCTTTTGAAAATGGGATCCACTTCTGTCGCCCATACACCTGTTATTTAATTTAGCAATGGTTGCACCTATTTATTTATTTTTTTTCTACTTCCTAAGTGAACTTGTTTAATGTACTTGATGTATTGAAATACAACTGAATTATTTACTGTAAAATGAAAAGTTTTTGAATCGGAAGAAGGGATACGGTAGCCGGGTTGGGTCCCACATTGGCGCAAGGTACTTACATATTCAAAACATTTTAATAAACGCCACCAATGAAGACATTTTAAAATAGACGAGAATAAAGGGCTGCTTGACTTGGAAATACCCTTTACTCAGATGTCAAATAATTTAGACTTAAGAAATATATGATAAATGTAAGTATTAAATGAAGCAGCTCCTTAAAGTCAGCTGTCTAGTCCGTCTTTCTCGTTATACTATTAGCTGGTGGTAATTAGTTTACTACTCGTTACTTATCACTCGCTAGTTACTATACTTTTGATTTGTTACTTGTGATACGCATATTGTGACTCATAAGACGTAATATGCTATACGTTACTAGTTACTCGCTACTCCACCTTCGTTACTTGCGAGTCGCTGCTTGTCACTCGTAACACATCAGACGCCTCTCGTTACATGTCACCTGCTACTCGCTATAAGCTACTTGCTACTCGCCTAAAGTACACACTCCGTTTGCTTCATTTTGTAAGTACAGGGCATACAAAGGTAAACAAAATGCAATTACATTCAAAACGAAAAAGTTTAAACAGTGTACGTGAAATACGGGAAGGTGGCATGGAGTAGGGGCAAAAAGCAACTCGGCATAAATAAAAGATAACATTATTAACACCCAAGAGCCAAGTGAAGCGCCTCGAGTACTCAGTTAGACAAATGGGCGTCAGTGCTGACTCAATACGGGAAAGTTGCTCTTCGACCTCTTCCCCCGTAGCTAGCCGTGGCAGCCCTCTTTCACGAATTGGAATGTAGAACGTGCTCACGCCACATGAAATCATAATGAAAAGCAATAAAAATATCAGCAAAGTTGCTCAGCACCCAAAAAACTGAAACATAAATGAAAATGAAAAAAAAAACTTTGAGCAAAACAGTACAAAACGGAACAAATTCTTGAGTTGCCCGTGTCGCGCCCATAATTGATGACCTGAGATAATTTGTTATGGTTATAAAACGTGAAACAAACACGGGGCGGAAATACATAAATACGGAAATACAAAATATGGGGCGCAATTATAAATTTTAGACCAACAGCTTGTGGGTCTCTTGTGTATCTTCCTTTGGCTCACTCGCTCTCTCTCTCTGTCTCTCTTTCACCTTTCTCTTTCTGAGTGTTCTTGTGCGTGGGCTCCCAAAGGTGGCCCAAGATGCTGTTGCTGATGTTGCCAAGCTGCTAATGATAAGCGATAACCGTGAACTTCACTGGGTGTTAAATATTATGCAACACCTCGGGACACAATTTGTTCCACTCAGTATGCCGCAAAACTCATAATGATTACCTGCTGGCGCTTAAGCCCTCAAAAACTTGTCAACTTATTTGAAGGTACTTTCTTAAAGGACGGAAATTTAAACTAGCCGCTGGGAACACCTGACTTGGGGCCGAGCTTGTAGCCTCGTTTAAAGCTTATATGGTTGTGATTGTCTTGGAGGCTAAGTTCTTCGATAACGATTAAGCTGACTTAAATTGATGAGATCTGGGAAAGTTAACATTATTCATACAGCACATACTCAACGAGTGTATGTTAAAGTCTTAAAGCTTTAAATTAAGATTCATTTTGTATTTTAAGAATAATAAGTTAGCCTTGAAACTTAAACCGTATATGGAATTATTTTCTTAAGCACTCTACTTTAATAACTTTTAAAGATAGTCTTGATATTTGCAAATTGGCTTCGATAAGATTCTTCTTTTTTCTTCCAATTTGCGAGCGACAAGACTAATGCCTAAAGCATAGGTGTAGTTAAGAGGGGGTGCTTTCGGTTGGATTCGAATTGTACGCGCTGAATTAAAGAACGATTCAACGATATGGCAAATATTTTAAGCCCAACATTTGCTGAAGCTAGCCTAAAAAATGTTTGCTGTATAAATCAATATTGGGCGGAAAGTTTTTTTATTTATTTTTTTTTGATGGGTGGGGGCACATAAAATGCAACAGACTTTTAGGCGCAGACATGTTTATGTACTTGTCAGACAGCCCAGACGAGTTCCGCAACTAACCCAACCCCCTGCGCTGCCCTCAAGCTGTCCGCCTGCCCGTCTGCGACCCTGTTTTGTAAGCGGTAGTTGGATTTGTATGGCCCGCATCTGGGTTCAGGTCGCACTGGTCGTACATCTATATACAAGTTGTCTTGTGTATTCTACTTCTGCCGTAGACAGCGACATCTTCGATGCTATAGTGTATCTATTTATACATCATCAGCTGTCGTTCTCAACTTGAAAAATTGTTCTTAGTTTTAAAAATATTCTCTAAAGACTTTGCATATTTTGTAATGGCTGCCCTAGGATCTATCATTACTTAAGCTCTCGCGTGAAGATTTGCGTTTGTCTTCAAGATTTGTTGACACTTATGATGCTACTTTGGTCCCATTTAACATCGGATTACTATATCATAGACATCTATAGCAAGAATTGGTGTAAAAAATAGTTTTTTTTTAAGGAACATTTGTGTGTTTCAACAACATGTCTTGATCGGGCAGCACAGTTCTTTTTACAAATTCGTAAGCCAAGGGTATTTAACCTTCGGTGTGCAGAGGATAACCTTGTTCTCTAGTTTTTTTTTTTTTTTTGCTGTGCCCATTTCTATTTTCACTTTCGCTGTGCTTTGTTTTCTGCTCTCTTTCTCTGTCTGTTTTATTTTTTTCTTTTATTATTGTACATAATTTGCACGTGCTGCGAATATCTAAAATTTACGAGCAGCGCAAGCGAGAGCGAAAGTGCACAGGTCGTCGTGTGGGTGGTGTGAACGGTGGGTGGTGGGCGGTGGTTGGTGGCTTGGGTTGGGCTGGTCTGCCCACATGACACTAGTTACACTGTCCCCGCTGGGCCGAGGGATGGGCCGCTGTTGTCATGTACATTATTTTGCTTTCAAATGTTGGCTGTAAAAGTAAAAGTCTCGAAAGCTTTAAATGAGTAGAGCGACTTTCGCCCACTGTCGCTCCTTGTTGCGTGTGTCCTGCCCTGCTTTAGGTGGGTGGTTGGGTGGCTTCGCTACAAATCTGCTGTTGCGTTTTTTTCTTTCCTCGACACAAGCTGCCCCCCGGGAGGCGAGGGATCCTGCTTGTTGCTTACTTTAACACGTTTTATGTCCAAAATAAATGTGAACTAATGCATTTTTATTAATATATACAAGCGTGCTGGGAATTTCAAAAATCCACACCATGGGATCATCATCAGCTATATCATCATCATCATCATCGGCATCAACCTGATGATGATTAAGCATAAAAACCACAAATGTTTTTTAAATGCAGTGCAAATGTGTGTATGGGTGGGGCAGTGTGTATGTGTGCGTATGTGTGTGTGTTTGTGTGTACTTACTAAGTAGTACGCTTCTGACTTTGCAAATCCTGTTAAAATATTTAGCGCAGGGCGTACGTGTTAACATCCTTGCTGTTGCAACGAATCGGAGAAGTTAAAGCTGCCCCACTTTGGCACCACTGTCACCCACTGTCAGCAGGACTGTGCGCTGGGGTCACATATGCGTTGAGTCAGCAGCTTATAATCGACCATTAGCAAGACTTAAGATAAGCTCAAGTCTCTAACTCGCTCTCTATCTCTTTCTCTCTCTGTCACTCGCCGCTGTCTCAGCAGTGAGTGGTTTAGGTCGGTTCGTGCCCTTTATGCATTCTCAACTGCAGCCCTCAGTGCTCAGTACTATGTACAAATCATCAATTGTATCAACTATGCACACATACACACATTATAATTTGGGCATGGCTGGCAACGCCTGCTCGTCTGTTTTTGCCAATGGTAAACATCAACATCCGGAACACATTTTCATCAGCCACATAGGCCCACTCATTTATGACACGAGTAGCGAGTAATGAGTCATGCGTAAACTTAGAACGAGTAAATTTATTTGAATCGTCAGTTTGAGTCTGGAAAATGTTGACAAAAGCGAGTGAAGCTCAAATAAAAACTGCATATAGGTCTCGTAAAACGAGTAGCGAGTGAGGAGACAAACGAGTGAGTCGGTAGTAATTCAATCGGTGCTTTTTACTCGCTACTAAAAGGAAAGTAAAGAAACAAGTATGAATAAAATGTTTAGAGTGCATTTAATGACAAACAAAATAACAGTAAGGATCAAAAGAATCCAAAGCCAGGTTACTCTTTACTTGTTAATCGTCACTCGCTACTGTGGAGCTAGAATCTCGTATCTTGAGTGTGATTCACATTTTCTGAGTGTTTATGAAAATTGTAAGCTGTGATATTCCAGAAATAATAGTGAGAGCTGATAATAACAAAAACAGTCGGAGCCAAAGAAGCCAAGACCGGTTCACTCGTTACTTTTTACTTGTTACTCGTCACTCGCTACTGGCTGCTTGCTACTGAACTAAGCAGCTTATGTCGAGTTTATTTCTGAGCGATTAGTGGAAGGGAAAGACAGAGTTTGGCAGACGGACACGCACATAACGGACCTCATAACTCACACGCTGGCGCCTGTGGTCCATTTGCACGGCAAACGGCGGAGACTGATGGCTAGCCTTGTAATGCTCAGACTTTATTATCCACTTCTTTTCAATGCGTCGACCAGAAAATAAAAGCGAAAAGGCAAAAACAGTCGACGACAACTGGAAAAAAGAAATGCAAAGGCGGCACTTTGCATACTAAGCACCGGCGAGCATGTGGAGGGTGGCAACGGACATGAATGGGCGTTGGACTTGAGCCTGGAGGGGGGGTTGGTGGCAAGGAATAAATAGAAAAAGCAAATAGAACGACGCTCTATTGACATTTTAGGGTTTCATTGTAAGGCAATTTAAATTATTGTGTATATTTTATTTCCATTTTTGTTGCACCCATTTTGTAAAAAGAGCCACATTTTAATACCCTGTTTAGATAAAATCGACTCAAGAGGTATC